TAAATTTTATAAAGCTTGCTTTCTAACTTTGCAAAAGGGCAATACTCAGTGATAAGACAAGCCCTCCATCTAGTGGTTGGTCTGAAAATTACGAACGTTTAGATCTTGATTTAGTAATACTATATCACTATACAAACATTAGGTAAAATTTTATAGGCATTGTCTCATTTGATCAACACTTCTCTTGTGACTATAATAATAAAAGGATAATATGCTAATTAGACCAGACAGCTGAACGACCTTCCGGACGAAGCTGTGGCGGGGGCCAAGGCAGAGGCGGTTAGGAGCATCAGGCAGGCAGGCGAGCAGTTAGGGGCGATCAGGCAGGCAGGCAAGTGGTTAGGGGTGATCAGGCAGGCAGGGGGAGCAGTTAGGGGCAATCAAGCAGGCAGGCGAGTGGTTAGGGGCGATCAGGCAGGCAGGCCGAGTGGTTAGGAGCCAGCGGTTCTAGATTGCGAGAGGAATGTCTGACTGCCAGTTTAAGCCCGATCCCGCAGGAAGTGGGCCTAAACCAGCAGTCGGACATCCCCCGAGGGGTCCCAGATTGTGAGAGGGTGGAGGCCGGGCTGAGGGACACCCCCCCTTCTCTGTGCATGAATTTGTGCAGCGGGCCTCTAGTATATAAGAATGTCAAGAAAAAATGTTCGCTTCTGCCAGAACAATCCAGCCCTTTCTATTGAATACAGAGGCAAACTACTGATTTCATCTACATGGAATACCACAGCCTCTAGTTATTGCATGAAGCATATTCCCATATTAAAGGGGCAAAATTTGTTTTGTTCCCAATTAACTATAACTTCTAAAATTTTCAGCCAATTTTTATATTCTTTCCCTTGATTCTCAGTTCCCAAATAGTAATAGTAAACCATACACATTTTAAAAGAAAAAAAATAGTATTTTTTTGGTTTGAAATATAGCATATTTTATCATTGTTTTTCTGCCAGTGTCTCTCCCGGCTCTCATTAATGACTTCACGTGTGGACAGCCATAATATGCTCTTAAATGTTCCCCATGCTCTTGCCTCTCAACGCCTTTTGTTACCACAATTATCCCTCTAAAGAACAGAAGTAAATTGTTCCCCTTCTTAAAAACCATGACTACTCTCACATATTAGAGAGCAAATGTAATGGTAAAGATTTTAGAGACCATATCATGAGGAAAGATTAATCAGGAGTTGTAAAATAGATATTAAAGAAGAATAAGACTTCTCATGTGGCTCCAGAGGGTAAATCTAGGACTAATAGAAGCAGATCTCAGAGCGGTGTAACAAGGAACTTCCTAACCGTCTGACGTGGCATGAACTGCCTCCACAGTGGAGTGAGACCTGCATTTCAGGGGTGTTCCCACGAGAATGGGATAGACACTGTTAAGGATGCTGTTGTGGATGAAAGTGTAGACTATAGCTGATTTCTGGAAATGTGTCCAACAAAGATTCTGTGAAAGAGAACATGGCTGGAAATTTTCTTTTGTAGCATACACTGATATATTCACTATTTACTCTGCATTCATTTTGCTTACTTGGGAATTTCAAAGAAGGAAAAAAAGTCTTGTATTGCTTTTATCTAATTTTAATAAAATAACCATAATACTTTTCACTTATGCAGCACTTTTCATCCAAGGATTTCAAAGTGCTTTACAAACATGCACTAATTAAACCTCCCAAACAGCCAGAGGTAGGTGGCTTTCCTCCCTTTCTTTGGGAATGTCAACTCTGGCCCAAAGTTCAGTGAGAGCGTCCGAGGGCCTGGGGCTGCTCCCCGGCTGCTGTCCCCGTGTACTGTGCTGCATGTGATGCGTCACCTGTCATGTCTGGGTCCCCCTCCCCCCATCATCTCGAGTTTAGAATTCTAATGAATGCTGTTAAAAATTTATTTGAAGCCTTGCTAATATTACAGGAAATTGAGTCTCCTGCTTGCTGAATGCTAATAAGAGCTCTAAGTGTTTTTATAAAGTAAAACCTAGGTGTAGTTTTTATATTTGTTTTTGGATTTTAAATATAAATGTTTTGTTTATGAAGAATTTGTCATTTTCCTGTCTGGGTACCCCAAAATCTTGGCTCTTGGATCATAAAACTTAATAGCAGGTGGGGTTGGAGCCCTCACCTTTCCTAGTTGTCTTTTCACAACAAATAGTAACCATTTTCATTTAACCAAAATTATATATTTTCAAGAAGAGATCTTGCATTTTGGTATTTTTTTAATTTAAAGTTCCAGAGTATGATATCTAGACCTGAGGATGCAGGTCAAATGACACTATATTACTAGTCCTGGAAAGGAAGAGTGGTCTAGTTGTACTTATTCTGATCTAAAGGGACACACTGCTTCTGTGTGTAGATCAGCAGTACCAGGACGAGGACATGCACATGCAGACACACACATGCAGTGCGGGATTAAGGTACCGTATAAACAGCCAACTACACGCACTTACCTGAAGCAGAACAGTCACACCGGCAAGGGCAGGTGCACATCTCACAGGTTCGTCTTCCTTGGTTCTCAGGGTCCCTTGTGAGAGCGTGCAAGTGCCTTTCATACTGTTGACTCCCATGGGAGAAAGAGTAAATAAATGTCCACATGTCCCAAAAGAATAGAGGTGGCTTCAAATTTTCCTCCTCCTATGGAAAATCAAGACATTTTGTCCTTGACATTGTACTACACAGAGATGTCTCCATGTAAACAGGAAACCTGCAGGCTCAGAAACAAACTCATCAGTTCTAGGTTACGTCTTACTTTCACTGACTGGGTGCAAATTCTTACCAGCAATGTGACTGACATTTCAAAAAAACATAATACCCACCTGTCTCCTTACTATGGAAAGAAAAAACATCAGGCAAATCAGGTGTCTGTTTATTCTTTACCCGTTAGCAAGCCCCATGAGGAAACAGTGATCAGAAGTTTGCCTGTTGGTCATAGAAAGAAAAAAATGGAAGGTTTTGCAGTTTGAATGTATAATGACCTCAGCTTCTCAGAGCCTTTATTGAGGCTCCTTCCTCACTGAGGACAAGCCTGTCAGAGCAGTCAGGTGTTGTTAGAGGTTCCCCCAAGAAATTGCTTGGGTTGGTTCTACCAGCATTGCCTCAGGAGCTTGTGGGCAAACTGCCTTCTGAAGCTCCTCCCCCTCCTTTAGATAGAATCAGTCATATTGTCACGGTTCTGTGAGAGGTTCAGTGTTCAAGGTGCTTTTGTACAATTCTTCACTGATCTGCTGTGTGCTTCTCATTTCCAAGTTCTTGAAAGAGATCTCACCACAGCCCCTAGATTGAGAAACAAAGACAACATTAAGTTGAGTTTAACCTAAGTCTGCTGCTGCTTGGCCTCAGAAGAGATGCTAAAATATGTAGGGAGTGGCATAAGTACAAAGATGAAACAGGAAGGAGTTGAAAGCCACAGCTATCCCATCACTCTTTATATGGTGGGGAGTTGTTCAGATACATATTTGTTAGCCTTAGTGCTTCAGGGGAAAAATTTCTACAGCAATTTTCCTCTGATTCCAAAATGATAACAGATACAGCTGAGCTCATGGACTCCACTAGTTTCTGAGACATCTTTAAAAGCTGCCTTTAGACTAGTATTTCTCTTCATCATAAAATTTAACCTTCCCATAGGACCAAGGTAGAGGGGGCGTGCTAATATTTTGCCATTGTAAGATAAAATTCAAACTTAAAAATTTCAATCAACTTTCAGAAATTATAGATGGAGCCCAAAAGTTTGACTTATCCAGCATCACTCATTATAAATGCTAACCTAGACTTACGTTTCAGAAATTCCATTCCCCTGGGAGGTAGATGCACATGACTAATATGCCCTATATGTATTATGACTCTACATTTAGCTCTAAGTCCTATCCCAGTACACACACACACACACACACACACACACACACACACATATTTAAAACCTTGATATTTTAAATTATAAAGTGTTTTCATCTCATTTTGAGCTGTGAGAGTAAGTTAGTGGCTATTTGGATATATTGTTTCATCATATTGAGATTTAGCTTATAAGAGAAAAGTATTTTCCATCTAATAACATGATCTTAAATCATTCAAATATATTTATTTTTTCAGAGCTTACATTTCTGCATTATAAACCCTTTCCTTTTACTGGAAACGAGCTCGCTGGCGTTCACTGCATGAGCTGTGCATGAGCATGTTGCAGCTGCCATGTCTGCCTGGCAAAGCTCGTGATTTTGCTAAGTGTTGGGTAATTCTCTGAACCTTAAAAGGTGCTCTGGAGAACAGATTCTCTTCTAAATAGTCTACTAATGGATGAATAATTTGTTTAAGGTAGTATTCAAAGTCATCCATTATCAAGTTATTTTTATAACTGAAGGTTATCTTTGGACTTCTATTTCCATGGAATAAATTGAATCAAAATGTATAATTAACTTTCTGTTACTCAAACATGTACTACTAAGTAAATGTTTGCACTGAGGAGTCCGAAGAAGGATTGCAGATCCAATCTGGCTCACTTTGAAATCCTATAAAATGTCCTGTCTTCTTCCTTTACTCACATGCTTAGTGTGCCATTTGGCCCTAAGTGAAAATCAAACTGCTGTCCTTATAACAGTGGATCAGTCCTACATCTTCAGATGAAGGAGATCTCAATAGAAACAGCAAAACTCATTTTTCTACAGTTGTAGCATTCCCTCGCATTGTATTTCTGATCATTGCTAGCATGTAAAATCTTTTCATATTCTGGCATAAAAGCCATATATGCATGTAATTTATTGACACTTTTCTGATCTGTCCTCCTCTTTATCTTTAATGGTTTTACCCTGATAACAGTGGTTCCCAACATTTTTAACGCACATCATTAGAAGTGAATATTTATCATTTACATTTTATGGCTGTATTGGTTTTTTTAAAGGATTGGTAATATCCACATCAATCACTTCCACTACTAGGAAGAGAATCTTGAAGGTGTAAAGTTCCAGGCCTCTTACTTGACCTGCATGGTGGGTGTGTGATAAAAAATATAACATATTTCTTTTTCTCTTTCTAGCCTTGGAATGGATGGCTTTGGCCAGCCCATTGGCATTCTTGGACGCCCAGCCACAGCGTATGGATTCCGCCCTGATGAACCTTACTACTATGGCTACGGATCTCGATAAAGTCGTCCCTTTCCATATGTGCTCTTAGCTTAGAAGAAACCTGTGTGGGTTGGGTTGACTTGTAATATTGAGCTAATAATGCATGTTGATGCTATTGCAGGTCTGTGCTTGTTTTTTATTGTTTCATGTTGTTAGCTGCAGGTTAACTGCAACCCTATGTCCCCTGTTAAGTAGAGTGAATGCTTGACACTGTTCATCATCAAGCCATATTTTGATGCTGGATAACATTTCCCTTGAGACTCAGAAGTGGATGCTGAAAAGCAACTAGACTGGAAAACAAACACTACATTATGTACATTAAGTGACTAATTTAATTTCTATTAAAAAGAAACATAAAGTACAAATGAATTAGAGAAAGTCATGTGTTTCTATTTAATGTGTTTCATTAGGAGTTACATGCTTATATAGGGTGCATATGAATTTTATTTTTCCCTGCCTCTTTTCCCCCCTTGTAAACTCTTGAGTATTTCATGTGGCATATGCTTCCCTGAAAATTTATAAAAAGACGTCACCTTTTTATTCCATGCCATGTGCCTGAAAGGTTGCTTCCCAGAGTAATTAACTATGAGTTTTCAATTAACAATGGAACATATGCCGTATGTTGTTGTATATGAGTATAGTCTCTTCAACCATTTGCATTCATGTCTTTCTGATTTTAATATAGAAAGTCTGGGACATCTATTAGTATGCATGAAACTAGATTAGTATTGGGCTTTTAAATTTTATGATTTGTGAAATTTAAAGTATGGAAAAGCTAATTTTCCTCTCTTGAGGAAAATTAAGAACAATATTTTGCTCACTAAGATACTTGTTTCCCATTTGTTCACTTGTTGTTATAAGATAGATTTAGGTAGTAAGAAATGGAAAGACTTTATAATTAATCATGAGTTTTAAAAATAGCTCAATGTTATAATGCTTAAAATTTACTTAAGCAAGTAAAATAGCAATAATCTGTAGCTATTTCCTTGAGCACTTGCTGTGGAAGGAATTATGTAAGGCTTTGAAGGGAATGCATAGATCAAAGACAACTTCTGTCCTTGAGTTTTAGATCTCATTGATCTACTGCACTATTTATTGTCTTGATTTATATTTAAGGAACAGTAGAGCTGGAAAGAGCCTTTGAAATAACTCAGTCTATCTACCTATTTGAGAAACCAATCACATAAAAATGTTCAATATAATCAACAGTTTTTTAAACTACTGCTTATATCTAAGAATATGATACTTCTGAGGGAATATGTAACTCTGAAATATGATTTGTGTCTTTGAACTTACAACCTAATTGATCTTTCTGAAAACTTACATTTGTCTTAGTTTCTATTTCAATCATAGAATATTAAAACTGGAAAAGGCCCTAAAAGCAACCCTGTCAGATTCTTTCAGTTGAAAAAACTGTGGCCAGGAGAAATGAAATGATTTGCCCAAGCTTATCTATTTGGCCAGTGACATAATCTGTCTCCCTGCTTCCAACCCAGTAACCTCACCATTAAGCATTTTGCCTTGTTATTTGTCATATGTACAAAGATTAAATACACATAATAAGTGACATTAATAGAAAGACAAAGCAAACATGCTAAAGCTTAACTTCCCACATATAATTTCACAGTGATTTAGGAAGAACATCATATGAAGTATCTAACACAGTAAGTACTAAACACGTGTTAGTTATTCTTACTACATTAACTTGTTTCATTTCTTTCATAGAATTTACATTAGCTGAACTTATCTTTGTTCATTTGTATGCTTACTGTCTCTCTGTCCCCCTAGCCCCCAAGATGTGAGGTCTGTTGAGAGCAGGGAAGTTGTTTTGTGCTGGTGTCTCCCTTGTCTGTAGAGTGGAAGCTGGCGCACAGTGAGTCCTTCACAATGAACAAGGAGCGAATGTCAGGGAAAATGTAGAGTCATTTAGCTCAGTTCCAGATCCACAGACAGTAGCAATAGTTAAACATTAGTGTGGGGCAGGCATTTTGAAAAACTAAAATAACATTCCTAGGACTACAGTACTAGCCCATCTTCAACCCCTTAAACAAAAAGGGGGGGAGCTTTATTTGGGCCCCTCAAACAGCCCACTTTTCTGTAATGATTGTTCCTTCTTTTCTTAGTGGTCAGCACAATGCATGGCACAGAAAGGGTGTGTGTTAAATACCTGTGGAATAAACATAGTCTGTAACATAAGGTTACAAGTTCTAGAACATTTATAGTGTCTAAAACACAGGGCAATCTTTCTTATAGCAACATGGGTGTCACGAGGTCTGTGGTTGACTTTAAATTTTCTCAGCATAGGCAGTGTGAAGTTCTCTGTGGTTTAATTGGTTCCAGGTATACCATAGAGGCAGCTAGCATTCTAGTAATCAGAACGCACACTCCAGGAGTAGCTAGTAGCATCATACCAGAAAGGCCACGTTCCAGAGATGGAGCTACAAATACTTTAACCACCTTGATCTCTGAAGACACCAGATGTTTTAACTAATTATCGTAGTATCAGAAATGGGTTTTTATTGGCAAAATTAACATCTTATAGTCACAATGTACATTAGAAATGAGGTCTAAAAAGAATTCAAGATAGGTGATTTGTTCAACATATTTTAGAAAAGGTTCTGTACTCCTGAATAAACAGTGTCTAAACATTCAAGGAGACCTCCACCTATGGAGATGCCATCTGAGGCCTCGTCCTAGCTCTGTCACTGGTCTCGAAGATTTCTGGTTGCCAGATGCTGATGCTGACGACCACGATGATAACAATCCTGCCCCCCAGCAGTGGTACCTCTGCTGCTCAACTTTCTAGTGCAAAGTGATGGTCGGGCCTCTAGAACTGTGCTCTCCAACATGGTAATCACCAACCATGTGTGACCACTGAGCATGAAAATATGGCTAGTCCAAATTCTAAAAAATAAACTTCAGTTTTGAAGATAGTACAAAATGTAAAGAATCTCAATTTTTCATATCGAGTGCATGTGGAAATGACAGTCTTCTTGGATCTACTTAGTTAAAACAATATTAAAATTACCTTCATTCTGTTTTTAATGTGGCTACTAGAAAATTTAAAATTACCTATGTGACTCAAATTCTATTTCTATAGGGCAGCACTGACCTAGTACACAACTCGGCCTTCATCAAACTATTAGGACAGATTAAATGCTATTTGTGTCTGCCTCCTTCTAAGTATTTAATACATTTCTGAATAAGGGGCAACATTTAGTCTGCTAGTTTCTTTCACTTAACTTGAAGAAACTGTGGGCTCCTTTATCTAAAAGTTTCAGCTACTGTTATCGACTAGAAAGAACCTAAACGTTTTAGATGATGGGATGCTTTGGGTCAGCTGTCATCTGTGAAGTTGTAGACGCCTTGAGTAGGAGTGATGATGACCACGACCCTGCAGATGACAACAGGGAAAATAGATCGTATTTACACCGAGTCATGTAGTTTTAAAACTATTACGTACATTCACTTTATTCTCACAACAGCCTATTAAGTAGAAAACATTAATATTCATTACAGGTCCTACAGTGCCCATTTGACTCCTTACTGAATTACGTGTAACTTCAGACTTCCCTGTGCAGAGCTCAGCCACCGTTCCAATGCACCACTTCGGCCACGCGGCTCGGCCAATCAGAGCTGCGGCGCTCGTGACGTCACCCCAATCGCCAGCCCCCCCTTCTTTCCGCTCCGCCCCTTTGCTATTTGTTAGAAGCGACTGGGGGCCATTTTTGATTCGGGCGGAAATCAAATGAAAACACAGGGTCAAAAGCCTGAACGTTACTATCAAGACGAACTTGCGTATTTAACGCCAGAGCTAATGGAGGAGCCCTGTTCACAGCCCAACAGGCTGCTGGGCGCGGTGAGGGAGTGGCAGGTGGGCACGGCGCCCACACTCAAGATGGCGCCGGCCTGAGCGTCGGCGGGTCGCAGGCTGGCATTCTGTCCGGCTTCCGGATCCGTCTCTATGGTGGCGGAGGGACCAGACCCCCGAAGACTGTGGGTGTAGTGGCCGGAGCCTCACGGGGGAGGCGAGGGTGGTTGGTGCCAACTGGGGGCGAAGAGGGA